CTGAAGTGTTCATCAACATTGTTTCAGGGGAGGGGGGACCGACTTTACGAAGTATATATGAAAATGTTTCAAAAAAAAATATTTGCCATGTTTGTCCGAGTAAATTTGTCTATGATTGTCTGAAAATGTATATTACAATAAATCTTCGTTAATTATCTTTTTCTGCATTGGAAAACAGTCGGAAATTCTGCAAATGCTATATTATGCCTGTATTAGAGTAATAAAGCAAAATGAGCGGTAGAGATTAATGAAAGGAGCATTCGCTTCCGGTTTGTCATATGCTCACTAGATAGCGATGCGTTTACCGTCGCGTTTGTCTATCTCTTTACGTGTTAACGCATGATAGAAAGAAGCGTATGACAATTATTTTATATCTAGTTGCGTAAAAACTGTATGCGATTATAGTATCATGAAATATATTAATTCTAAACCCTTGTATTTAAAATGCCCACGGTAAACATTGAAAAGCGATAGTTGCTGAATAATTAAGAATCATTGAGTAATTATATTTATAATGGGAGTCCTCGGATGTTTACCGTGATATTTTCCTGTTTTTTCCAAAGATTTACCGTGTATCATCATAAATGCAATGTAGATAATTTGGCTATAAGAAAGCATGTGAAATGGAAATTTATTGGGAAATCTGTCAGTGACAGGTTAAAATTTGTTGTGTGTGTTTACCGTCGGCCGCCGAGAAGTCCAAGAACCAAAATATTTCGTTAACGCAAGTTAGCGCGTAACCTGCATTAACCAATACGGCCACAGATATAACAAAGCAGGTCATGATAAAGATTTAATTCTTCAATTTTGTGCTAAGAATTTACACATTTAGAGTATTATCAGAACATGCTCACTATAAGCATTTATACAGGCTAGTGTGTGTAAAATATTTTGACTACTCTATATCAGCCATATAACAGTGAATAATTATATTATACTATTATATTCGATGTTATATTAGAGCTTTGAGTAGAATTCTTTCATCCCTTTCGTTTAAAGATTTTGGACGACCTTATGGCTTGCGGACACATGTACTCACACGGTTAATTTGCTTCCAACATATTGTGTGCATGCGCCGTTGATTTTGATATTCCACATCGTACGGCTATTCAGCAATAACTCAGTCCTATATATTCTCTATGAAAAGGAGCTAAAGCTCTTGTCTCCGTTCATACGTTTTCGCCACGTTGCGATTTATACGCACATTACGTTAATCATATGACGCCAACAATCTATCCAACTAACTGTAATTATAAAATATATTTGCATATTTTAACATTAATTTTAAATATTTTGAATATCATTTCTTATTCAGGTGTATATAGAACTTCGGTACTTCTAAAATGTGAAAATGGGTTGCAATTATACAATAATTCATGCTTTATACAACCGACAGTTTTTCAGACAATCCTAGACAAATAACATGCGGACGCTGATTAAAAATGGCTGAAATTTAAAGGAATCGCATATTCGGCCGTATTCCCCGCTCCCGGTCACCGCATATTCGGCCGTATTCCCCGCTCCCGGTCACTGAATAATTATACGCATATTCAGCCGTATTCCCCGCTCCCGGCGTTACAATGTTGTTGCTACAGATACTGCAATAGTTGCCATAATGACTGAAGTGTTCATCAACATTGTTTCAGGGCACTGAATAATTATACGCATATTCAGCCGTATTCCCCGCTCCCCCGTTACAATGTTGTTGCTACAGATACTGCAATAGTTGCCATAATGACTGAAGTGTTCATCAACATTGTTTCAGGGGAGGGGGGACCGACTTTACGAAGTATATATGAAAATGTTTCAAAAAAAAATATTTGCCATGTTTGTCCGAGTAAATTTGTCTATGATTGTCTGAAAATGTATATTACAATAAATCTTCGTTAATTATCTTTTTCTGCATTGGAAAACAGTCGGAAATTCTGCAAATGCTATATTATGCCTGTATTAGAGTAATAAAGCAAAATGAGCGGTAGAGATTAATGAAAGGAGCATTCGCTTCCGGTTTGTCATATGCTCACTAGATAGCGATGCGTTTACCGTCGCGTTTGTCTATCTCTTTACGTGTTAACGCATGATAGAAAGAAGCGTATGACAATTATTTTATATCTAGTTGCGTAAAAACTGTATGCGATTATAGTATCATGAAATATATTAATTCTAAACCCTTGTATTTAAAATGCCCACGGTAAACATTGAAAAGCGATAGTTGCTGAATAATTAAGAATCATTGAGTAATTATATTTATAATGGGAGTCCTCGGATGTTTACCGTGATATTTTCCTGTTTTTTCCAAAGATTTACCGTGTATCATCATAAATGCAATGTAGATAATTTGGCTATAAGAAAGCATGTGAAATGGAAATTTATTGGGAAATCTGTCAGTGACAGGTTAAAATTTGTTGTGTGTGTTTACCGTCGGCCGCCGAGAAGTCCAAGAACCAAAATATTTCGTTAACGCAAGTTAGCGCGTAACCTGCATTAACCAATACGGCCACAGATATAACAAAGCAGGTCATGATAAAGATTTAATTCTTCAATTTTGTGCTAAGAATTTACACATTTAGAGTATTATCAGAACATGCTCACTATAAGCATTTATACAGGCTAGTGTGTGTAAAATATTTTGACTACTCTATATCAGCCATATAACAGTGAATAATTATATTATACTATTATATTCGATGTTATATTAGAGCTTTGAGTAGAATTCTTTCATCCCTTTCGTTTAAAGATTTTGGACGACCTTATGGCTTGCGGACACATGTACTCACACGGTTAATTTGCTTCCAACATATTGTGTGCATGCGCCGTTGATTTTGATATTCCACATCGTACGGCTATTCAGCAATAACTCAGTCCTATATATTCTCTATGAAAAGGAGCTAAAGCTCTTGTCTCCGTTCATACGTTTTCGCCACGTTGCGATTTATACGCACATTACGTTAATCATATGACGCCAACAATCTATCCAACTAACTGTAATTATAAAATATATTTGCATATTTTAACATTAATTTTAAATATTTTGAATATCATTTCTTATTCAGGTGTATATAGAACTTCGGTACTTCTAAAATGTGAAAATGGGTTGCAATTATACAATAATTCATGCTTTATACAACCGACAGTTTTTCAGACAATCCTAGACAAATAACATGCGGACGCTGATTAAAAATGGCTGAAATTTAAAGGAATTATACGCATATTCGGCCGTATTCCCCGCTCCCGGTCACTTGAATAATTATACGCATATTCAGCCGTATTCCCCGCTCCCGGCGTTACAATGTTGTTGCTACAGATACTGCAATAGTTGCCATAATGACTGAAGTGTTCATCAACATTGTTTCAGGTCACTGAATAATTATACGCATATTCAGCCGTATTCCCCGCTCCCCCGTTACAATGTTGTTGCTACAGATACTGCAATAGTTGCCATAATGACTGAAGTGTTCATCAACATTGTTTCAGGGGAGGGGGGACCGACTTTACGAAGTATATATGAAAATGTTTCAAAAAAAAATATTTGCCATGTTTGTCCGAGTAAATTTGTCTATGATTGTAGGTCTTAAAAGGAAAAACATTAATTACAATATTGATCACGTCCGCCGTCGTATGCAGCAAGAACTGGACGGTTCTGGATGCTCTGGTGGGTACCGTGCTGTCTGGCACACATTAAAAATGGAAGGTATTCAGGTGCCAAGAGAAGTTGTTCGTTTAGTCCTGAAGGAACTTGACCCTGAAGGTGTGTCAGAAAGAAGATCTAAGACACTTCGTCGTCGAGTTTATCACACACCAGTCCCTAACCATTCATGGCATGTCGATGGATACAATAAACTGAAACCTTATGGTTTTCCTGTGCATGGATGCATAGATGGTTACAGTCGCAAAGTGCTGTGGTTAAAGGTTTGTAGGACAAACAATGATCCAGCCATCACTCGACAACACTTTCTAAATGCTGTTAGAGAATATGGGGGATGTCCAATTATACTACGAACTGACAATGGTACAGAAAATGTTATTATGGCTGCTATGCAGTCATACTTTTGATGCAATGGGGACGATGAATATGCTGGTGAAAAAGCACACAGATATGGTACATCACCATCAAATCAACGCATTGAATGCTGGTGGTCATATTTACGTAAAAACCGCTCAAATTGGTGGATTAATTTTTTTAAAGATCTTGTCGAAGCAGGTCATCTTAGTTTATCCAATCAGCTACAGAAAGAGTGCTTGTGGTATTGTTTCCATCAGCTTCTACAAGAAGATCTATCTTCAGTTCAGCTGCACTGGAATTCTCATTACATTCGAAAGTCAAGATTTGATACTATTTCCGGGAGACCAGACGAGTTATACTTTCTTCCCGAGTGTTCAGGTGGTAGAAATTACATAAAATCTGTCACAGATGAACAATTTGATGATATGTCTCAGTATTGCCATGAATATAATGAAGACAATTTGTATCAGGAATACTTTGGTGAGATTTTCGAGCAACTTCGTTTAGGTGAACCAACGAATTGGAGAGAATGTTTGGATCAATATAACAGGTTATGCGAAATTGCAGAAGGCTAGGCTACTTGCCATAAATACAGTTTACTTGTCATTGGAAACCTCTACCCCAGGGCAACATAGAGCATAACCATTAGCTGTTCGCTCTAAAAGGTTTTAATACGGTACCCTCAAATATTTAAGTCTATTAATTTAAATATATTTTATAATGAAACTTAATCACTCTGATTACACCCGTAGGTGGGGCATTTTCTGGCATCTGGGTCTACAAAGGTCCAGTCCCCATGTTTCCCTGGGTGAGGATGGGGGTCGAATGACAAGTTGATAACTGGTTCTGTTAACAAACTTAACAAAATAACAAAACTTTTTAATAACAACTTATACAATGATTAAATAATGTATATAAGTATTCCACCTTAAACTTAATGTTCAATTATAGTGCCAATAACATATTATTGAACTGTTCAATTTCCTAATTATTAGTTTTACAATTTGCTGAAAATGCCTCCATTCATTAATGCTGTAAGGAGGTCATGTGATAAGTCACCATTTGTTGTTTTATCATTGACATATAAATATAATGCATTGGAGCAGGTTTGCGCACTAGGAATAGACTTTCCCTCATCATGAACAAAGGTTATCATTGGTTTCGGATCAAAACCAATAGATGGTGTGTTGGCTGCCCCAGTTGCAAACAGTAGCATATGGCTTGGTGTCAACAAAAGAATGATGCTTTTCTCTTGTTCGGTTAATTTCAAATCACTGTCTTCTAAGCACTCCTGTAAAGTACCATCTGAAATAGAAAACAATATGCATTAATTTCCACTGTTAAAAGTCTCATGCAGGGCTTGAAACTTGAAATTTTTGTCAGTATCCAAGTCGATACCAGCATCATAGAATCTAGTATCCATCCTTGAAATATAGTAACCCAGATTTGGATACTAGATATTCTATTTCCAGTATCTAAGCAAGGCAAAATTTTACCTTGCAACCAGGCCTTCAGTTGCTGAACAAAAACCAGGCCTTTAGTTTCAATAATAAAAATGTGTATTGAAATTCGAAAAAATTGAAAATAACACACTGCGGCGATACGAAAGAAAGCACTGTTTGTGAAATTTTTTTTTTTTAAATATTCTGCCAAAATCCGTAGACATTGAAGTTCGGAAACATGCCCAAAGTCTAGATTATTATCTACTATAGCAATTTCTAAGTTTTCCTAGTATCCAGTTGGGATACTGAGCTTATGATACCCAGTATTCAAAATTAAAATCTGATATCCTGTGGATATCTGGATACCGCAAGTTTCGAGCCCTGCTCATGTATTGTAAGTTAGTATTTAAAAATGTTTACCTTCAATTGATTTTAAAAAGGCAATGAATTTTGCCATCACTATTTCTTCTTTAACTCTTCGCTGGTTTCCTTGTGGTGAAAAAGCAGGCTTCAATGTTTTTATCACCTGTTGAACATTCACTTTGCCACCTTTCTTGCAAGAAAATAGATGATGAGCCATCCCTTTACTGCTTCTGATAAAATCTAATACCTGTGAAGAAATAGTTGTCATCTCAAATTATACAGTCAACATAGGTGTACAAGGGGGGTGGGCTCCTAATTTTGACCCAACCAGGCAATTTTTAGAACCAATAGTTATAGAACCAGTTGGGCAATTTTTAGCTCACCATCGGGCAAAATAACTGGGTGGGGTCACATCAGGCAAAAATCGGCTGCCCCCTAAAATTTTGTTATCCATACACCTATGTGTGCCAATTAGTTAATCAGACGTTTTTAGGGGTGCACCGGAACTAATTTTTGAAGTTCCGGCCAGAACTGAAAAGTTTCGGCCGGAACCGGAACTGATTTATTAAGCCATACATTAGAATAAAAATATTGACAAACATTAAACGTCATAATGAAATGTTAATGGTGCATATTTTCCTTGTGTACTCCAAATGACTTCCTACTGTGAACTTTTGTTAGACACAAAAACGTTTGATATTCTATCTCTCTGAAAACAACAGAGTTCCAGTTCCGGCCATGCTTTTTTTATTAACTCTGAAAAATCGGGTGACATACTGTAGTTATTACACAAATAGTACGGTAAATAGTATGAAAATATCAAACCCCATAATATGAAAGGCCTTGGATAAATTGATCCAGCATAGATTTACATCTAATGATGACATAGTACTTGGTGATTTCATTAACCAATATGTGTCTTTCATTGAGATTGATCTTTAAAGGCAATCCATCTATATCTACTTTCCACTCGCATTCAGTCCAACATTTGTTGACATCAAGCTGGGTCTTTGCTTCTTGCAACTAAAATTTACAATGAATGTATACAATAGTAGGGTAGTGTAGTGTTTTTCAATGGTCTTGAAAAAGGGCTTAAAAATACTGCTCAAATTAAAATGTGTTGTAATTAGAATGCTGTTTTTAAGGTTTGTAATCCAAGTGAGTATATATATATATAATATATTAAGACCTAACCAGGAACGACTGTGAAAAATTCAGCACAAGGTCCTCTCAATTCCTACCAGAGGACCTTGTGCTGCATTTTTCGCAGTTATTCCTGGTTAGGTCCTAAAATGTAATATATATTCACTTGGATTACAAACCCTAAAAACAGAATTCTAATATTACCAAGTGAAGTGCAGAAACCACTAACCAGATCATTGTGTTGTAATTACCACTACTCAATGCTTTTGCTTACCTTCTTTAATTAAAGACTTTCGTACAATTATGTCTGCTACCTCATCTATTTGGGGAAATGCATTGTAGATTCCACCCTGAATGTACTGGCATAAACTGGGGCTGAAAATACGGGGTAACTCTCCTCCTTGAACAATCATCATTGTTGCGAGCATTTTCCCCACCACTGAGAATGCACTACTTTGTAGGGCTTTAAAATTGGGCCTGATAATGTGTCCTTCTGAAGTATCTACAAATGTAGGCTATGAAAAATAATTATGATTATGTGTAATCTGGGTATTGTATATACAGTAACAGTGAACAAGTACCATGGCAATAAGGTTTTAATATTATTTTTCAACCAACTAACTTGGTATGTTGATTTCAAAACTAAGGTGAAGAATCTGCAGATTCTAATAAACATGTGAATGCTGGCTGCAATTTCAAGTTCAACTGTATAATGCTGATTATAAATAGTCATAAACAATAATGCTGATTATAAATGTGTTTCGACTTGCACATCAGAAAAATAGTCTAATTCTATAAAATTTAGTTCTTTGTTGATATAAGTACATAGCCCTCCCCCGCGTTGCTCCGAAGCTCTGTTCTTGCGCACTGTTGAAAAACCTGGTATGCTGATTAAATTGTCAGTTATATGTGATAAAAGCCAGCTTTCAGTAATAACTGCGATGTCACATTTATTCGTTAAGACTGCACCACATATCTCATCAATTTTATTTACCATAGATCGGGTATTACTTAGAAATATTGTAGGAAAGTCATGCTTTGTTGAGCTATTTACGATTTGAATATTTAATAGGTTGCTTCGATTAATCACTTTGGTTTGAGTTTCAGGGAATCTAAAACAGTAGTTTCTTCGAGAATGTATAGTTGGAATATGATTCGTACAGGTACGTTTTGTATACAATCCACCACGAAGTCCTCTGTACGGTCGAATCAAACCAAGATCTTTAAGATGATTCCAAATATTTGTCGGCAAAGGCATATTCAGTGGGCCATGTCGGTGCTTTAGCAAGACGTTTCGTAGTTGAAATAATGTATTTCTTGAATAAGTCAGCACGTTCCAGATTCCACGAACAGGTACAAACATTTCTCTGGATATTTTGTAAACACTTCTTGCAAGATATAAGCATAGAAATAGACACAGTCAGATATAAAAAGTGAATTTGTACGGAGCTACTAGGAGTTGCAGCCATTAACGGCGCATTAACATGGAAAAAAGATCTTATCGGTATGATGGTAGAGTCCATTCCAATAAAATAGAACAGTATAACAAATTATTAGAAAACTTATATCTTAAGCATAATGTTACCCTCATAAAAAACAATAACATAGATGAGTCTCGACTAAATGGCTCAAAACTGCGCCTAAACTGATTTGGCGATATACTGTAGCACTTGGCAGTGCTTTCTGCTCTTATCTGAGATCACTTAGAGTTAGAGCTAGAACCCCTGGTACTCTGCAGGGTGCTGCAAATTTTTTATCCAACGTTTATGGTCATCGGGCCAGAGAGTGGACAATTCACCTGAACCGTGTCAGGCGAATAATGACATGATACCTAGTGTAGGTAATTCTAATAATGTAAGCAGCGATTTTCACACCTGTCTCAGCTCTATCCCTAAAGAAAGAGGCTTTAAAATGGCTTTTCTAAATGTTGTTAGCTTATCCAAAAAATTGATGAAATAAGATATTCAATGTCAAGCAAGAACATTGACTTAATTGCATGCTTTCAATGAATGATTATGATATAATTAGGAAAGACAGATCAAGAAATGGGGGTGGAGTATGTATCCACTGATCTAGAGGCTGTTTGCTTAGAAATTATCAAACCACATAGCAAACCATTTCTAGTCACAACAGTTTCTAGACCACCCAATGCATCAGCAGATTTCTTTGAGCATTTTGAAAACAAAATCAAAGCTTGATTTAAATTGTGATTTGTTAAAGACAGGTAATGAAAATATGCCGATGAAGAAAATTAAATCTTTATATGTGTTGTATCAATTGTCATAATTAATTCAGGAAGCTACCCGAGTAACTACGACAACCTCCACCATTATTGACCACATAATAGCTAATACTCCAGAAAAAGTTTCTGATTCTGGTGTTATCCATACTGGAATAAGTGACCAAAGCTTAGGTTTTGGAATTAGAAAGATCTCTGTTATCAAGTAACTAGAAAACACAATTGAAATTAGAAATATGAAGAAATTTGATACCCAAAAATTTGTTGCGGATCTGATGCAACAACAGTGGAAAAATGTGTATTTTTTCGCTGAAACTCCAAATGCAAAGTGGAAAATTTGGAAAATGCTATTCTTAGAAATTTTAGACAAACATGCACCCCTTTAAAACAAAAAGATCAAAACAAGACGAGTCCCTTGGATTACAAGTTCCATAAAAGAACTTATTAATACAAGGGACAAGCTTAAAAGAAAAGCCATTATTACAAACCTCGAAAATGATTGGTTAAGTTATCGAAGAACTAGGAATAAAGTAAATATAGAACTAAGAGATGCAAAAAGATTACTATTTCACGAAAATTGCTGGTGATAAGTCCAATCCTAAGGAAGCTTGGAAGACCATAAACAGTTTATTGGGAAGGCAAAACAAACCAAGAATCGTAAATGAGCTAAAACTTGGCGAAAGTAGTTTAACTAACCCTAAAGATATTGCAGAGGGTTTTAATGATTATTTTTCAAATATTGCCCCAAATTTGGCTAGCCAAATTAATAATTCAAATTTGAACTTTGAAACATATGTCAAAAATACTGAATCAGAATTCACCGCATTCCAACCTGTCACGGTCAATCACGTCTACCAACTTCTGACTGCTCTCAAGAAACAAAGCTACAGGTGTCGACAAAATTTCTTTGCAAAATTATTAAGATTGCTTCACCTGCTATTTCAGATTCACTAACACATATTTTTAATCATGCCATTACTCTTTCCTCATTCCCTGATGAATGGAAAATGGCTAGAGTAATAATACCTCTATACAAAAATGGCCAACGTAATGTGGCAGGAAATTACAGACCAATTGCTGTCCTGCCAGCCGTTAGCAAGATTATGGAAAACATTCTGTATAATCAACTGTACAGTTACTTATCCAAATTTAGACTTTTAAGTGATAGCCAATTTGGTTTTCGAAAATTTCATTCTACGGCTACTGCATTATTAGATTGTACAAATGACTGGTATGTGAATTTAGACAGAAAAATGTTTAACGTGGTTGTTCTAATTGACTGACTTATTTGCTGATGGCACAAACCTGAGAGCTTCTGGTGACTGGATAACTCGTCTTGAAGCTGCAGTGAATTCTGATTTAGAAAACCTAAAAAAATGGCTAATTGCCAATAAACTTAGCCCCGATGTTGCAAAAACTGAATATAGGGTAATTGGCTCAAAACAAATGATTAAAAGCGTTTCAAATTTGCAGCCAAATGTGGTAATTGAAAACAAACAGATTAAACAAGTGCGTGAGTTCAAAACTCTTGGTGTGACAGTCGACCAGCATTTGTCGTGGAAAAGTTACAAAATATTTGAAAATATTTGCAGGAAAATAACATCAGGAATTTCTGCTCTTAGACGTTTTGTTGACAGGCAAACGCTTCTTTCTGTTTATAGTGCTATTGTTCGCCCGTACTTTGATTACTGCTGTGAAGTATGGGATGTGTTCGGTAAAACACAATCAAAACGACTTCAAAAACTCCAAAATAGAGCTGCTCGAATTATCATGAATATGAGGAATGACACAGATCATGTTGTAGCATTGCAAGCATTGGGCTGGAAGACACTTAAAATGGAAAGGAAGAAAGCCAAGGCAAAAATGATGTATAAATTATTAAATAACGTAGGCCCTCAATCACTCACTAACTTATTCACTTATAAAAGTGAGATGACTAGCTATAATCTTCGAAACGTTTCAAGTACTCTTTGTTTACCGCAACCGCGGATTAATAATTTGGAAAAAAGTTTTATGTAAGATAGATCATTCCTTTGGAATTCTATTCCAAAGGAAATTAAAGAGAGCAAATCCCTTTTTCCTTTCCTTTGAAAGAGTTGACCCGAGCACAAAGGTTGACTACGTTGTTCTGCCATACGTTAAACGCTTAACAGAGCCTCTCAAATGCCACATCAAGCCATACAACATCCTAGTCATAACGAAACCTCTACGCATGCACGCTTGAACAAATGCTTCTTTCACCGAAAGACAGACCAAACATTGCGAACCATGTGATTATGCAAATTTCTAGCCAGAACAATTGTATATTGTCTAGATCAGCTTGTTTATTGGCCAGAAATTGACTGGCAGCCAGTTGGCTGCCATTATGCGTAATACGACATGCGCGGCTACAAAAACTAGTTCCGACGCCAGTGGTCGATGCATTCCAATTCTATGGTAGAGGGCCTGACCTAGCTTTGGAGAAAGCACTAACACCACATACACTGTACGTTGTATGTTCTGGCCACGCTGAACTGGCTGGCATGGCATTGATATTGCTCTGGACAGAAAACTACATAAAAAGTGGAATTCATGTTGCATTGCATTGCATTACATACAATTCATGAAGGAAACCTTTCTGAACTTCTGATCTTACGAAGTGATAACATATATTCTTCAATCTCTGGTACAGAACAGTGTTCTTTGCCAAAGCTAGAGCTTCGTGATTGTCACAGTGAAATGTCACTGCAGTAAACGTGCACTTAACCATATCCTGCAGAGAAATCCTCCAACAACTGAGAAAGAAATTTAGCTTCCTGGACAGCTGAAGGTAAAGACATATATTCCGATTCCCAAGTGGATAAAGAGACAGTAGGTTACAAGTATTCACACAAAACGTTCACATCAAATCACATGAAAACCAACAAAGCCTTTTTATTTTTAATACTAGCTACTTGGTCTTATTCATTTTTTAATACTAGCTACTTATTCTTATCCAAGAAGTCACATTCTTGCAGTTATCGATATGCTAGTCTCTTTATATGATACTAAGGCCTTCCTTCGGTTTTGATAAAAATTTAAGTCTTTCTATGAAATTTTGGAGTATTTTTGCGTCCAACACAAAATACAAGGCCAAACATTTTGCGAAACACGAAGGAAAAATACGCAATCTCATTGGCCGAGAAATTTATGTGATCGCTGTCTGGTTTATTATCATTGCAGTCTAAACCTGTATGTGCATGCATGTATTACTTACTTGCTGCGGACTCTCAAAACTGGAAAATTTATGTGGAACATTGTTTGTATTCCTGTTATTCTATCTACTTTTTATTCAGTTTTTGTTCACCGCTCTGAGGTGGACGGACGCCTTAACATGTTTTACTTGTAACCCATTTAAGAAGGATGCGAGTTAATGCATAAGTTAGCTTTTGGTCAGGAAGGGATGAAAACCGGAGTACCCCGAGAAAAACCACCCTTTGAAGCACAGGAGAGCACTATGCACATCTATAGGAAGCACCCAGCCGAGGTAAATATCAACTTCGTTCCCAGGATATCCAGATCATAGTTCAGTGACGTTTAGGTCATTGGTCAGTATCCAACGATGACCTGAAAAAAACCCCTGCAATCTGATTGGTTCTCTAAGTTTATACACAGTTGACCCGTACAGAATTCTTCTCTATTTTGGCACATATTTTGACTATTGCAAGTAAATAATAATGAGAACTTTTCTAAATTTTAACACGAGGAATCAATAGGTACATATACTTTATACATTTTCTGCATATATTTTGAGCACAATTATTCCCATGACTCCAGATGTAAATTATCAATTATGCATCATTATGAAGGCATATTTTGCCTGAAAGGATCTGTTATATTATGTTCTAATATAACACACAATCAATGTTTTCTCATAGTTTAAAATAAAGAAATAACAGTTACTTCCGACAAATTAATCGCGGAAAAATCTTGCCATAAACCTTGCCGAAAATTTCTTTCACTCTTGGCGTCTGTTTGCATCTTTGCGTGAAAATATTAATTTATGTTTAATTTATTCACTTGCAGGATGAGTATATATGTTGAGGACTTTGAAAATGTTTATTCAAGTGCAATATTCACGCAAAAACAATCCGTAATCTAATTAGCATGAGTCTTTGGTCGTTAGCACGAGACTTATAGTTTAGCGAATTTGAAAATTTTTTAAAACTACTTGAGGACGAAAATAAAGAAATTATCATAACCGGAGATCTCAATTGTAACATTCTTGAGCAGAACAAAAGTTTGCCTACTTCTAAACTAGTTGACCTGATTGACATTTGTCAATTACAGCAACACATACAGTGTCCCACGAGAATTACTAGTACAACAGCATCACTACTGGATGTTATCCTCACTTATTATGGTGATGATAAAATATTAGATACAGGAGTAATACACCTTGGTATCAGTGATCATAGTCTTGTTTATCTGTGTCGAAAGCTCAGCATTCCTAAGGCGCCACCAAAAACTGTCTTTACTAGACATTATAAAAATTATAATGTTAACCAGTTTAACAACGATCTAAGTGAGGTTTTTAGTTTGCCCTTGGATTCAGCTATTTTAACTGACCCAAATGCCTTATGGAACGATTTTAAAAATAAGTTTTTGAGCGTCGCAGATAAACATGCACCAATCAGACAACGTCGTGTCAAGAGTGAATATAAACCGTGGCTGACAAATGAAATTAAGCAAATGAGCTATCGTAGGGATTACCTTAAAAAGCAATCGATTAAATTAAGATCTGCGTATTATGATAAGGCTTACAAGAGATGTAAAAACAAGTTAAATAATCTCATAAAAGAAACTAAACAAGAATACTTTAGAGATAAACTAAGCAATGCTAAAAATAGCAAAGAAAGTTGGCGAACTATTAACGAATTATTAAACAAAAAGCCTAAAACTTCAGAGGTTAAAGAACTAGATATAAATGGCCAACTTATTACTGACGATGATAAAATTGCAGATGCCTTCAATCAATATTTTTCCACAATTGGCAGTACGTTGTCTGACAAGATCACAGGTAACTGCACTGATCCAATGAACTTTGTGACTCCTCTTGATGGTAGTATATTCAACTTTACAAGCATTACACTCCAAGAAACAATAGATGCACTCAATGAAATTAAAACTAAGAAATCTCCAGGGCTTGATGGTATTAGTATAAGGTTACTAAAAGATGCATCTAACATTGTGGCAGGACCACTAGTGAACATATTCAATGTATCCCTTCAAAGAGCAATTTTCCCTAATGATTGGAAATTAGCAAAGGTGACCCCCATATTTAAAGAAGGAAATAAAGCAGACTGTGAAAATTATAGGCCAATATCTGTTATTTCAGCTGTAGCTAAACTTTTCGAAAAACTGGTATACCTGCAGCTAAGTTCATTCTTGAGGTTGAATGGCATTCTTGTGGAACAGCAGTCTGGCTTCCGTCATCAACATTCTACTGAAACTGCACTGCTTAGTTCTACAAATGAATGGTTGTTCAATATGGACAGAGGTTTACTTAGCGGAGTTTTATTTCTAGACCTTAAAAAAGCTTTTGATACTGTCGACCATCATATTCTTTTATCAAAGCTTGAATTATATGGTATTAAAGGAACTAGCCTGAAATGGTTCGAATCATACGTTTCTGGTCGAAGCCAAATATGCTCTGTGAATAGCAAGATGTCAGCTGTTAGACAAATAAAATGCGGGATACCTCAGGGCTCTAACCTTGGGCCTATTTTATTCCTATTGTACATAAATGATCTTCCTAACTGTTTAGAGACAACTAAAGCAAATCTTTTTGCTGATGACACAAGCCTTTCTTGTGAAGGGTTTAGTCCATATGAAATTGAGATCAAACTTAATAAAGACATTGAAAATGTTCATAGGTGGTTGACAGCTAACAAGCTCTCATTAAATATGAAAAAGAGTGAATTTATGATAATAGGATCAAGACGTCGCTTAGCTTCAATTGAAAATAGCCCAGTACTAACATTAGGGGGAAACAACATTAAGCGAGTTTACCAAAAAAGTCACTAGGCATGATCCTTGACGACCAGCTAAAATGGAATAAACATAATGAAATGCAATGTAAAACAATTTCAAATAATATCGCCCTGCTGAAAAGAGCAAAATTGTTTGTCAATAGAGATAGTCTGATAAAAATCTACAATGCCTTAGTGTGTCCTCATTTCAATTATTGTTCAACAATCTGGAATGATGGATGTTGTTCGATAATTGATAAATTGTTTATACTGCAGAAGAGAGCAGCGCGTGTGATAACAGGGGACACATACGAGGTTCGTTCCATGCAAACGCTAGATAGTCTTAATTGGCTTCCAATAGAAGAACTTCTAAAACAACGACAGTTAATAATGACATTTAAAGTACTAACTGGTCGATTACCTCGATACCTTGAAAAATTGTTTTCAGTAAGTCAAAATGACAATTACAATCTAAGAAGCAATCAAATTAAATTGAACCTACCCAAACCTAAGACAAATTTTCTCAAACGAAGTTTCTCGTATAGAGCTGCTAAGTCCTGGAACGAACTTCCAAGTGAAACTATTGAAAATTATAACAATCTTTCAATTTTGTCGTTTAAACGGCAATTACTTAATTCATCCGTATCAATTCATTGTAAATAGTTATATTCTTTTTGTCCTTTTTATATTATTGTTGTAAACACACGGCCCTTTGAAAACCAGCGCTGTAAATATTATCTGCTGAACAGGCTACCGTGTTTAAATAATTTTATTAAAGATTAAAGATTAAAGATGGTATTAGGAATGACATCGTGGAGATCACGAGTGAAACGCATCAGACAAATAATAATTAGCTACAGAACTATTGTGAAATTAATTGACATTTTAATTAATTAAGTATTTTTTTATTTGAAATATATAGTTACAATCATACATGGCCGTTCAAATTTTATGAGAGAATTAAATTATATATCTAATTTGGTCCATATATAATTGGAATTTCATTTTCTGCAAAATTTTTCTTTTGTATGTTCCAGTCGTTGGCAGCATTTTGACCGATGTAGAGATACAGAAACTGCTTTCTTTTTTCCCCCTTGGCGCAGGCATTGAATTGACTCTTTGTTGTTTCGATGAAGTCTTTCCCACATCCGAGATTTCCGACCTGATAACACGGGAATAATTTTGTTGCAAGGATTATATATGCTGGACACGTGTCGAGTGGGAATACACCATCGTACATGGTTTTAAAATCCGCCAACATCTTCTGTTCTGCATGGCCAACGTTAGAACCCGGCTGGGCATTTGCACTTATACCTGCGATTCTCATGTTTGATGGCAAGTCGAGGCTCGGCCAAGGAGGCGCATATGTTAGTTTTCCCAACATTCCCTCTTTTTGAGTAAGTGTTTGTCTTACCGCTTCACTTGTGAACCATACGCCGTCTTGATCGCTTTGTTGTAAGTACAGGAAAGCAAACTGGCGGTTTTTGTCTTCCTGATGAAGTTTGGCATTCACTGTTGTATATATCAAATGCGCGGCATCTTTAGGATCTGGAATCGCAGATGCTTTAAATACTATGAAGCATAAAGAAGCGAAAATAAGAATAAACTTGGCTTTCAGCATTCCGACCAATCTTTGATGGACAAGCTTAAAGGAAGATAAAGAGAAATGAGCAATGAAAAACTTTTCTTGTGGCCCTACGTATATGAGGCACTAGCAAATCAAATTTATGTGTGCCTGATCATTGTGCTTGTGGCTGTTCTTTTATTACGCGCCACATATTATCATTCGACCATAAAAAATAAAAATACATACGCTAAAACTGTTTTCTATATAGTGGAATATGGTGTATTCTTTCTTTCTCGATAATTGAGCCATTGACAAGTTCCATTACAAAAGGAAAGGCAAGCATTGAGCATGTAAGTTTTACCACTTCACTACCCAGCAAAAAGAAGCGCGTTTTTTAACAAGGAAAAAACAAATCGACTTGACTCAAATCGAATCAAAGTTACGTTTCTATTGATTGGCTTGAAAAGGAAAGAAGGCGATTCAATAAAATTCAAGTGTTGCGTAATGTGACGGGTCAATGCAGGGGCGCGGAACAACGGGGTTGACACTGGTGCAGCTTCCACAACCCTCCCCCCTTCACTGAAAAGTTTTCTTTTTTAATATAGTTGCCTTTTTAAAGAGAAAAAAGTATTTATTGCATAAACAAGTTCTTTTGTTAAAAAGATAATACCTTTTTGGCAGAAGTAAAGACTAGATAAATACCATTCCAAGGACATGGATACATCATAGTCTCAAAATTTTTCCATGTTGCATGCGGAGGCGCCTCATGAAACAACCAAACAAATGTGTGATTTTGTTTCTATATAAAAGTGCTCCTTTTGGCCAGTACCTTCCTGTTTTTTTGAAGTGCTTCTGTGGCCAATGGGTCGATATCATCGTTAAAGCTGGTTTGATCTACCAAACTTTAGTGTCGTAATCTCATGACAAATAAAACTTTGGCAGAATTAAAAAAAACGTTTGAAGTGAATATTTAGATTTCTTCGAAGGATCGAGAATTACATATCGCTCATCAAACTTAATTCCTGATCTTGAACTGTGACCACAATGGTCGAATAATACCTTTGATTTGGCTAAATGTTCACGAAAGAAATATTCATTCTAATTAGGCTACGATGAATTGCAAAAAGACTTAAGACAATAAAGAATTTGAAGGCTATATGGGAGAAAATATCGCTTTGGACTTGTCTCCCTAGGCCTACCATTAAAGTGTGTAATATAAGTTTTATGTCAACATAATTAGTTCTGCAAGAGTTGCCAAAAGCAAACCTTGGGAATACACTGCATTCCGTAGCGATACGAATCATTGGATTAAATCATTACAGCCCACTGCAATTAGCCTTTCTCACGCCGCCATTTTTGGGTGACATGTACATTTCAGTCGAAGTCTGCAAGATAAATCCACATAACAGTAACTTAGTTATAATTTTTTGGACAAATGATCGTGAATTTGCTTTGTAAATGGTTAGTTTATTTTGAAAAATTGCTTTGCACCTTGTTTTAATTGTCTGAATTTGTTAATATATTGGTAATAGGATGGTTTGAGGGCAAATTGGAATAAAGACATGCACGAGTGAGTTTACTAAAAACGATCAAAATTACACGAGTCTCAGGAGTGTAGCTATATGTTTTTATTACTGTTACCTTTTAAAAATATACAAGAAAAAATACAATTACACAAAGCCTGAAAATCTTTCGATCAAGAATACTTAGCTTTTGTGCAAGTGGCATACTGAAAATAAAATAATCGGAAAATTATTTTTTTATATCGAAAATTTGGCATGACTAAATTACTTTCTTTGCCACTGTATTTGGAAAAATGTACTGTTTACCAATCAGAATCAAGTAATTTTTGCATGTATATTGTTACAGAAGCGTATATTGTAAGTTACGTTTTGAAATATGTTTAGCAACAGTGAAGTTATATAGGGTAAATATTGCATGTAATGAAAGTTAAACTGAAATGATGGGTGAATTCATTAGTTAAAATAATTCATATTTGTCAGTATAAGATAGTATTGCGTGGGCGTAAATTAAAGTTGCCAGAAATGTTTGAATAAGATTAATTACAATCTATTGTTGAAAAAATATATGAAAGATTAATTACATATGTATTGTTACAGGTTGCTTAAGGCATGTGTCCATTTAACGTAAAAATAAGGTTAAGTGTGACCTGATGAAACAGTGTGTTTTGAAGACATAAAGCATTGAAGCTTTAAAAGATAATTGAAAAAAGATTATAGAGAATCATATTAAAAGTAATAAGAAAATTAAAAGTAAAAGTGGATTAAAAGTTAAATAAGATTATATTAACCAGTGTTTCATTGTTGAAATCCATTAGTAAGTTTGCTCCTTACATGTAAGTTTGCATTGTAAAGTAAAGTAGTATTGTTTCACCCATTTGTGTGTTTCTGAGGTAAATAACGCACATGTTCTAATCCGATTTTGCACCTGCTTGTTTCCTATGTTGTGCTTAGGACATGCCTTTGCTTTATTTACACAGTTTTACATATGAACTTTAGTTTTAACTTTTTCTCTCCGGACCCTCTGATTTCCAGACTCGGGAAACTTTGCAGCGCCTTCTCTCCGGTTCTACGCAGCCAACAAGGACAAAAATACTACCTTTCGATTCAAAATTACAAAAAAGTTTTGCTTATACCGATAGTTTTAGTATATGTAACAGTCAAGCAATATTATAGCCTTTGAAAGACAAACTGATCGGAATTTAGCAAAATTACTCAACTATTCTCGATACAATATAATACGTTCTTACCTTTGATCGCCCAATGCTTTGTCAATATTTAATTTCACGCATTGTTATCGCTGATATCTTCATGGAAACCGCTTTAAATTTCCTTTGTTTTGGCATGTCTTTGTGGCAGAAAACTTTTTTCCTTTACATTTTATCGTCAAAGCATTGTTTGTTACGAAAATTCCATACTTTTGAACCGGAAGTAAATTTTTTTGCCAAAACTATAGAAGCATTGTACAAAAATGCCGGGAATCGATTCCACGTGTCTTATTACCGCCACAGTGTGCTCTGCACGTGAATCGCGGATAATTTCTCCTTATTAAACGAACTCAAAGTGGGCCCATGCGCGAGGTGAAAAATCCGACATTTTAAAAAATCTGAAATAAATATTTCAACTCGGTGTACACACACCAAATTTTCAATATACTGCAATGAAATCAACAAATACTAAAAATGCATCCCAAAGTCCGAAGGCCAGATGTGTATCATTGGCAAGATATTCAAGAGTTTAAGAAATCCTAGCTACAAAAATTTCAGCAAACAAGTTACAAAGCAACAAATAGTTTTTGTTATGTAATGTTTTGACGGCATTGAACCCACGTTAGAAAGATTATTTTGTGAGGATTTCAACAGTGCATGTTATATTGCGGGGAGGGGCAAATATTTGCTAAGATATTTATGTTCGAAGTTGAGTTGTAATATTGTGCAACATTTACGTGCCTGGAGAAAGAGTTTAAAGAACTTGTGCAATGTTTACAGAGATGAATATCTTATTTGTAGACTGCAACTGAGTCGTCGTAGCTTGTTATGATTGGTTAGGTTAATTAAAGCAAATAATAATGTAAATTTTCGATCAAGTTAATCGAGCCAGGAACGCATAAAAGCGATCGCTCACTCGAACCTGGGGGACAGTGTGACAAGGACAGTGTGACAGTGCGCATGTGTGTGATATTGCATGTGCATTTGTTGGCTTATTTTGGGAGAGCAGTTAATTGTGCGTTGTTGGTTCAGTTGAAACAATCTCTATAACAGTGGAAGAAACCATAAATAAAAGTTCAAATTCGGCTTCCTCGTGTTTTCTCTCTTTTTGGACTAATTTATAGACTCCCTGATAACAATATTATTAATACTATAATATATGTCGTGAATATCTTCTTCTCCGATTGCAGTACATCCAATTAGCCTTCCTCACACCGCCATTTTTGGGTGGCATTTCAGCCGACGTCTGCGAGATAAGTCCACATAACAGCAACTTTTATCATTTTTTGGACGAATGATGGTAAATTTATTTTGTAAATGGTTAGTTGATTTTGAAAAATTGCTTTTCACATTGTTTTAAGTGTCTGCATTGGTTAACGAGAATTAGATGCCACCCAAAAATGGCGGATATTCGTCATCGTGAGAAAGGCTAATTGAATCAGATATAAATTTAAAAATGAATCTAAAACTGCAAAGCCGACGGTCACTATAAGATCTCTTACATTCAGTCGCCAATGCCATTTGTATTTTTATCCGAATATCCTGAAATAATTTCACAGGGAATAGTTATAATTTTGGCACATTAAAAATATGGCCTATAGCTACATTCGGATTCCAATCACCTGTGCGGGCAACTGAATGATGGGGGCACACATTAGATTTTACTGGTCACTAATAACTAGAACTTTTTCCATCCGCAATTTTATAATTATTTTGATCGAAAATTTGATATGTTTCTGAAACGCATAATTTGGTCAAAATTATTTCGAAATATATTGTCGACGGCGGGGCTCACGACAAATTTGCACTTGGAAATGCAGCATTGAGTATTGTATTCTGGACCGGAGAAGAAAAACATATCAATTGACCTGAAAATGAATATGATGCTATATATTACAGAGTACTACTTTGAAAGAATCTACTTTTAAAATCTCCCAAAATAAATAAACAAAGTTAGATAAACTAAACTGTCGTTATGTATGTATGTAAAAGGAATTACCAAACCTAGTGCAATTCACCTTTTCAGGGAATATCCTAAAATCATTTTCTCTGGGAATTCAGTTGTTAAAATTATGAAATACTAAATAAGAGGCTACATTCATGCATGTGTCGATTCAGTATTGTGCTTTAATGGATTCTTCTCACATCAAAAGACTCTAACTCCATTATGCAGGTACCGGTCATAACTGCATGACTTTATAATTAAAGAATTGTCGCACAATTCAAGCTGAAATTAATCCCCTGACAATGAAAGACATACGCGATACAGTGAAAGATTACATTCATGCACATGTCTATTCAGTGTTGTTTTTCAGGTACTGGCTATACATGATTGACGTTAAAAAAGATCGTTACATGCAAAGGGTTTCTTTTGCAGACATTGGCAACTTTTGATTTGGACAATAGCACTAAGCAGTTACAGACTAAGCTCAAATGTGAACGATGTCGATTACTGTGTCAGTATCTCTGTGTTTTCTTCTAGCACAGGCTAAAGGCGCAGTAACTCCAGCACAGGCAACTTTATTAGCGACAAAAGTGTACGAAACCCTCCAAACGTTTTCACAACAGGCTGATGCGAATAGAATGACATTCTTATATGTTCATTATGAAAATGATCTGGCCAAACCTCACTATACAAATGCGGTTGTGCACCAGCAATTCCAAGGAACAAAGAAATTCCGAAAGCTATTTGGTAAAACGACCCCATATTGGCCAGCTCCCGAGGACATCCCAATTGGAAATGACTCTCCAATTGTCGACAACCTGATGGTTGCGCCTTTTCCAAAAGCGGGAAATAAAGAAGATCTGAAGGTTATTTTAGTTCCGCTGAAGAGTGTGAATTCACTCAAATGTCCCAAGATCGTAATATTTGGAAGAAAAGGGTATACCGAAAAGACTGTTGAAATTGAAGGCTGGCCAAAAGGCAATGATGGATATTTCAACTTAAAGAATAATATAAAAAACGTTAACGTTTGCAACAACACGGAATTTTTCTACTATATTCATGAAAAATTGAATGATGAAAGGGTGCTTGAGTTGCTTGCAGAGAATAATGTCAATGTCGATTACAATTCATACCATTTGCTGTAAACTTAAAATTGCATGAAGTTCACTAAAATCAATTGTAGGCTATGTACAAAATAGCGCAAGCAGATTGAATTGCAATTTGAGACCTATCTTAGTTTGTAGCGCATATATATGCAAACAAAACGTGGAAGAAAAATTTCTTTGTGACATCTCTACCATAATGAAATTAGACATGTAAGCGAGGTAGTATTTAAAAAACATGTAAAATTATATTAATAAATCTTATTAAAACTGCTTGGCGTCAATCATTGTAAAATGATGAAATCAAATGGCTAACCTCAAAAATAAAATAAAGTGCCTCTACCATTTTCCTTTTGTTAAACACCAAAATGCAGATAAATACGGAAGCCGTGAAGGGACCAGACTCGTCCCCAGTCGTTATTTGAATTTCAATTTTATAGGGACGAATAGGTATATAATATATATATATATATATATATATATATATATATATATATATATATATATATATATATATATATAGATATATATATATAGATCAGTACCAAATGTGGAAGGGAAAGCGAGGAAGGCGTGGAAAAGGGAAGGCGAGGAAAAAAATAACGACTATATATATATATATATATATATAGATCAGTACCAAATGTGGAAGGGAAAGCGAGGAAGGCGTGGAAAAGGGAAGGCGAGGAAAAAAATAACGACTGGCAGATTACAGAGACAAAATGGCGGACAATTTGACAACAAAAGAGGAAAGACTATTTTAAAATACACCACAGAGCGTTTTTAGCTGATAAACTCCCTTGTCCGCATGAGGAATGTCAGTATAATTTATCTTGCTATGATCAAGATGGTTTAGACCACCATTACAGGACAATCCATAAATGCCCTGTAACATGTTATTTCAGGCTTTCAGCTGATTTAGTGATATTAAAATTTAAAAGGCGAAAAGTCTTATTGTGCCAGAGAACTGAGAGAAGCACTCAAAGGAAACACTGTCATGTTTGGAAAAGCTATCAATTAACAACCAATCGAAGGTATTCGTAAATCTTGAGTGTTGAATGCCTTTAAATCTTTAATTGGAGCCAGCGAGCAATATAAAAACGGGTAGGTATTTTATTCAATTTTATTTATGCGTTTATATCTTTATATTTCACGATGAAATGCTCTCTTAAACTCTTTGGATTATAAAGAAAACAGCTTTTTGCTGGGTTTTTTTTTTTTTGCAACCTGTGTATTTCACAATTTGGTTGCCGAAACTACAAATTTTTGTTATTTATAAATTACTTTATAAAGTGCTATTAACTCCAGGTTTTGTGTAAT